AGGTGGTCGTAGTGCCTCGAAACGTGAGTGGTTCAAGGAGTGAACAGGATGTCTTTCTCAATGTACGTTGAATTTCCTTTAACATTTTTGACACATTCCTGCATGCGCGGGTGAAAACAATGGGCGCGAGTCTTTATATATATTTATATTATATCATAAAATGTACACACACACATATATATATATATTACACCATTATTCAGTGTGTATATATTTATTTTTCGCAGTCAGCAGTCTTCTTAGTTTGGTCTCTAACACATTACCTTTTGGTCTTCATGTCACCCAGGCCTACTTAATTCAGTAGGCGCCTAATTACTTAATTAAGTAAGGGAACAAGTTCCTTAAGTAGGAACCTACTCGGTTAAGTAAGAGACAAACTTGTTCGCTCCTAGCTACTGAGATGCTGCTACATATGGACGCAGGATAGCTCACGCTTCTTCAAGGAAGCTCCCCCCGCCTGAAGGTGGGGGGGAGCTTCATTGAAGAAGGTTCCCAGATGTTTAGAGTAACTTAACTTCAATGCAAATAAATAACATACATATTTTGGGGAAGACTTGCAGGACCACGTGAAGGAGGTTTTCACGGCGATTGGGCACGGAGATTTGCGACTTTCAGTCTTTGCCGTGGTGCCGCAAATCCATGCAACGCACTATTGGGCATCGAAACATCCGGAAGGCCATGCAGAAGAGGCTCTCATGGATGAGGAGACTGCCGGCGCCCTAATTTTACTAAGTACAGTAAATCATGTCTACCTATTGACAGAGTTTGATTGCTTAGCAGAAGGGAATGTGACTAATTAATCATGACATACCTCTTTCATTTTGCTCTTCAAGGTAGAAGCTTCGTGGTTTGGTGTGACTAAAAATATAACGATACAAATCTCAGGCGAAATGAAGCATGTGTCTGTTTGTGCCACTGCATATTGCATATATGACACCAGTCAACTTGTATGACTGAGATGATGAACTATTTGTGCACCCTTTGCTGTGCCGACATGCGGTGCGCAGCGTTTGCCTTTACCGAGGATGGAGGCATGCTGCACGCTTTAACTGAAACTAGGACACAGACAGACAATGCGGTCGTTTCAGGATGCAGTTAAAGTGTTACTGGTAATTATGCAGAGGCAACATACGGGACCTCCTCTACTTGTGTCGAAGGTAGCTGATGGTACAAGTCAATGTTGTTTGTGCGGTGGCGTGGCACGAGTGAATTTATTTCCCTCCATGAGATCGATTTAGAACATGTCTAAAGGAAGGGATGAGATAGGACAAGTACGAATTGAACTCTGCCAAACAAAGGGATTTAAAGAACAGGAGTTGCTTCACATCACGTCACATTTACATTGTGAGTCAGTATGCAACGTAATATGATTTAATGATAATGATATTTGTATAATGTAATTGAATAGAATTGACATGTAAGTGTGTTGCATGTGATTATGTAGGGTATTGCATGGTATGGTATGGTATGGCATTGTATGGTATGGTAATTTAATGTATGTTATATATGTATTCTTATGTTATGTTATTATTTCAGCCAACAGCGGGCCAGCAGGGTCTTCACTAGGTCTGCACTAGGTCGGCGGCAGGAGGCGCGACCCGTGTTACCCTAGGGCCCTAGAGCATATTACCCTAGCAGGTAGCTGCCTTCGGCGGCCAGGAGGGTGTTCAGTGGCACGTCGTCGCCGTCGTCGTCTTTGTCATGGTAGTGGAGGCGGTGGTGGTGACTCCAAGCCTGCCCCTGGCAAGCTTGAAACCTATTTCTGACACCCGTTAGACCAGCCCGCGGCCGGATAGACGCAGAAAGAGTTCCCAAAGCCAGTCACTCAATGCCAGTCACTCCAAGCCTGTCTCTAGCGCTCTGACACCGCTAAGCCAGCCCTGCGGCCCCGGTTGCCACGCTACTAACCAATCGAATGCCACACAGAAAGTGGTCTTGAAAGCCAGTCACTCAGCGCCTATTTGTAGCTTCAAGCATGGCTCTGGCAAGTTGGAAATCTCGCCACGCGGGTTACAAGCCTGTCTCTGGCAAGCTTGAAACCTGTCTCTGCAGGCCCGGTCTTGCCACGCTGAAGCTCTTAAATTAACAAATCAAATTTAATTCCACACAGAAAATGATACCGACACCGCCTATCTTTAACTGCGCCCGAAGCCTGTCCCAGGTCTCCACGAGTTCTTTCGCCGCCCTTACCAAATCTAATTCTACACCAAAAAATTGTCCGCGCAGCGTCCACTTATCTTAATGCCAAGCATTGCTTTCGGCTAAGGTCTACCTCCAGACCCTGTCTTTAACCGCGCGCGTAGCCTATCCTGTGACGATTTCCACGTCACGTGGTAATAGATGTCTCCCTCCACCTTAAGACCACTCTTCTCTGGTGCGCTCCCCCAACAGCTGGGGTCGGCGGATTGTATTGTTGTATGTATGTAATGTTATGTAATGTTATGTAATGTTATGTTATGTAATGTTATGTTATGTAATGTTATGTATGTAACTGTATGTATGTATGTATGTATGTATGTATGTAACTGTATGTATGTAACTGTATGTATGTAACTGTATTTATGTAAGTGTATGTATGTAATTGTATGTATGTAATGTAATGTAATGTAGTGTAGTGTAGTGTAATGTGATGCAATGTAATGTAATGTAATGTAATGTAATGTAAGTATGTATGTATGTATGTCACTGTATGTATGTAACTATTTGTATGTAACTACATGTATGTAACTATATGTATGTAACTGTATGTATGTATGTAACTGTATGTATGTATGTAACTGTATGTATGTGTGTAACTGTATGTATGTAATGTATGTACGTAACTGTATGTATGTAACTGTATGTATGTATGTATGTATGTATGTATGTTCACAAAAGGATTGGTAGCTTCCTCGCCCACGAGGTTCAACCAAAACTGGTTGGAGACCACTCCAATGAAGACAAGGTTCACCTTTCAATGTACCTCAACAACCAATGGTGTCCACACCAAAAGAATAGGGTGTCCTCACCCACGGAATCCGGTTGCTCTTATCCACAAGAGCCCAAGTCCACCTCGCAGCCTTTTCCTCAGACCATGGCACAAGCGAATCCTCTCCACACCCGCCCTCGCTTGAGATGCGATAGCGGAACATCGGCTGATCGAGAAGGGCAACATGCGACCTGGTTCATTTCGACACACCACTTATTTTCTTTGAGTGGTCTCAGCATGTTGACCTTGTGTGGATCTTCAAGGATCGTCATGGTGGCATTATTTCTTTAAGCTCGTAAAGTGGCAAAAACGTGCAAGAACACAAAAGGCATCTGGCTTTTATGAATTATGGCGGGTGATATCTTGGCTGTGGCTTTTCTTTTGCAAAAAGACTTTCCCCAGGATTCATAGTCACACTATGACTTTCTCAAGCCCTTGCAGTACACTCACTCCAGAGTGTCCCTCTCGAGAGAAGCCTTGCAGCTCTTTATTCCGATTCGGACGACTTGGCTTTTCCAAAATCGGAGATCTGTGCATTCGATCGAAGCCATTTCAGTCTGGTTCTAGTGTCGGCTCTTTGTTTGAGAAGTTCGGATTCATCTTGGAATTTATACCTTCCAATTCGAAGTACCTCTCTTAGGATCGTGTTATCCATGATTTTCGTTAATGAGTCCGCGATCTGAGCTCCTGAAGGAACCCATCTTAAGCAGATTCCGGTGTCGATGTGCTCCTTGATCAATTTGGCCTGTAGCAATGTTCTAAATTCAGAGCATGATGGTGTCGCAGTGCGACTCACAAGATCATACAAGCTTTTACAGTCCGTGGCCATGATCGACTTCTCTGGTTTGACTTTGTCAAGGAGTTCTTTGGTTTGGCACATCGTTTCGTTTGGATCGTGTAATTCTGTATCTTTGACTAGAGAGAACGCAGGTGGAAGTCTAGTCAATGTCTTGTCTCCAAGTCTCCGTGCGTATTTTGAATCAACTATCCATGCCCAGAATAGGCGAACCCATTCAAGAGTATCTATAGCACCAGCTAGCGACATGGATTCCGCAGACAGGGTACTTACTGCTACTTTCTGGATTTTCCTCGATGCCCAGATTATGGGGTTGACTTTGCTTTGTTGATTATCTTCTAGTTGTCTTTGGCAAGCCATGATAAGCAATCCTTGATGAGAACTATCGTTCTTGTTTGAGGCAAAAGAGGCATCTGATAACGAAAGAAATCGGGTTTCACTGATAGGGATTGGTTGGAATGTGATCTTTGTATCTGCATACTGCTTTGCTTCATGTAGGACACGGTTTGCTTCAAGGAGGTCAGTGACCTGGCCATTGTTGATCCTGGTCTGGAGCTGGCCCAATCGGCTGCACAGGTCAGGTCTTGTGTTGACTGCTGCGTACAATAGGCTGCCTATGACTGCACGAAGACACTGGCGTTCCTCTTCGGTGATCAAGTCTTCTTGTTGTTTTCTTCGAGCAGGGGTCAACTTTATAGGCTCTATTTCTTTGACATATTGGGACTGATGAGTGACTGATCTAATGATATTGTCATGTCTGACCCTTGACTTACATGAATTCCTGTGAACACGAAATCAGTATGCTTGCATGATCCAAAAGGATATTTCTTCGACAATTCAATCAGCTTTGCTTCGAACAGGTGATTTCCTCCAAAAATGCCGTCGTCTACGTGTAGACCGATTGCTCCGCATGTTTTCCTTCTGGGTCGGTCAAGGTGAAAACACATGGGTCCATGGGGCATTGTTTGAAATCAAGGTCAAGCAACCCTTTTCTGATTTCACGGAACCATAACAGGGGGGCATCGGCGCGACCATAAGCTCCCCTTAGAAGTTGGAGTACTTCACCCTGGCGCATTTGCAGCTTGCTTTGAAATTCTGGAACCGGTTCTAGTCCAAGCAGTCTTTCTTGATCGGCAGTACCTCTCAAAAAGGCAGTTTTCACATCGAACGAGGAGATACGCCATGAGTTTGCTGCGGATAGCTGGAGTATCAGCGAACGGCCCAATTTTGTCAATGTGGGTGAGTCTCTCTGGATCTCGTGTAGTTTCGGATCCATGAATCCTAAGACTACCAACCTTGCCTTTGGGGTTCTATTTTGATTTGAGCTGGTATTCGACAAATGTTCGTTTGTTTCACTGTTCTTCCAAAAGGTCCGCCTTACATATCGTAGATATATGTTTGGATATGTAAGGTTGTATGTGTGGATATGTAAGGTTATATGTGATGGTAAATGGGTTAACTGTCCATAAGTATTCGGCCAGACTTACGCTAGATACAGTGTATATACAAAATTTATAAGTCATTTATAAGTCAGTTATAAGTCGGAATAGTACGGAAGCGAAAACCTAGTTATTTTACTTAGGCGCGCACTTAGCCTACTTACAAAAACTATTTTCAACGTTTTTTACACGGTTTTCTTAAACATGTCATGAAAAAGTTAATTTTTTTTAGGTTTTGTGTGTGGATTTGATTGAAACGCTGGAATCAGCAGTCTACAGCGTAATGTCAACATTACAGCCCCTTGATATGAAATTGCTGAGGGTTAGTTGAGTGGGCAAAGTTTCATAAGATTTTCCATTCTGTAGTTAGCTTCTTGTCGGCTGTTGCAAACATAAAAGAAGTTCTATAGACGTGAACATCATTACGCACACACATACAGACACAGACAGAGAGCCCTATATGAACAGGGTGAAAAGCGTTTGTTGGGCGGTGTACCCGCTGCAGGCGAATTCGATCTATAGATGGCTGTGAGAGACCGCAGTTGAGGTTATAAGTGGCGGTGTGTCCGCTGTAAGTATAGGTTAGGGGGGCGGTGTGTCCGCTGTAGGTTTGTAACATTCGGCCGGGTTTGAATGGAAAAAAGATAGGGGAGGAAAGGAAAGAAGGGTACCCTTTCGCGTGCATCTGCGAAACACGTGGGCGTGTGTTGAGAGAAAGGAATGGGAGGAAGTGCAATCTCCGAGATTGGTGTTGAAAGGAGAGCCTGCCCGTAGTGATGGCCTGACATCGTCCGACTTCCTTCTGACTTCGTTCTGACATCGTGTGTC